TGAACTTGTTCTTTAATCACCTCCAGATCCTGCTCGAGCGAGCTCCCCTCGGCCATCCGCGTGACAGCTTCAGCATACCGGCCGATCATCTCTTCGCCTTCGGCCAGACGAGCTTGCAGTTCATCCAGTTGAGCCGAGTCGAGCAGACCGAGCGCCATGGCCGTATCCAAGCAGGACCTAAACTCCGTAATCGCCCCGGCGGCGGTCATTTGCCGAACATCAAAGAGAAGGAACTCCTGGAGCCGTTCAATAACGGTCTTGGAATCTTCGTCCAAGGGAGCCGAGGCTGAGCTTCCCCCTTCCTCATGGAGGCTGGCGTATAGCTCCTCAAGATCATCGGAGGAGGTGGCCTCCTAAACATAAGAGGAAGAAGGGGTAAGAGATAATTAACTAGGACATAAAGGGATAAACAAAAGGAGGTCGAATACTCACGGGGAGCGAAAGGTCGGTCATCACCACCGAGGTAGTCCGCAGGAGACTCGGCACACTCACGACCGTGGCACTAGTCATCACTGGCTCGGCCACGACCGTTGAGTCTTGGGACGACGGCGTAGGAGGCATGGCCGCGGCAACCATGGCCAGCGGCGGCGACGATTGGGGTGGCTAAAGACAAAAGTTCGGTCAGAGGTATAGAACAGATCAAAAGAGAACAATAGAAGCCAAGCATTTTGAAGGCAAATTCTTACCGTGCGAAAAGAGATGCCGCTTGGGCGACGCGGGGTGGACGTCAAAGGCCCACGTGGCACGTCCACAGCAGGCTCTTCGGCGGCCTCGTCAGTTGCCTCCTCAGCGGCCTCTTCATTGGCCTCCTCGTCGCCTTCGTCGGCAGCCTCTTCGGCAGCTCCCTCAGCGGCCTCTTCGGCGATTTCCTCAGCGATCTCTTCGGCCGTCCCCTCTACAGCCTCCTCGGCAGGCGTCACCTCTGCAGGCGCGATCTCGGCATCCAGCGCCTCAGCCACTTCCTCGACGGCGGCGCGATCACGATCCCAAATGTCGATTGGACTGCCCACTTGAGCTAATCAGACTCCACTATGCGTAAATTCAGCCTCGATTACTCATCCAGGGTCTCTTCCTATAAATACAAGACTCAAGCTACATTCAAAGGGTTCAACACCAAAACAAAGCCTCCCACGGAGCAACTTATTTTTTCCTGTAATGCACTTTCAATATCTTTACTTGCTTTCCTAGGAGTAGTGGTAGATTGTAAGGAAAATCCATTCATCAATATATCATACGACCCTTGATTTTCAAGGCGCCGGAGCACCATCCTTGTTGTTCGTTCACTCACCCCATATATCACACGACCGTCGCTCCCTGAGCAGCGGGCCGGAGCACCGCCCAAAACCCACCACCAACACCATCACTCAACGGCCTTGTAGTTCAGGCCGTGAACCTAACAGCCGATACCAGTTCCTCTCTCGGCTACAATCGTTTGACTAGGAAGACAGATCAAACAGGTGCACCACTTATCCATCCAACACTCATCAATACATCGACGCACGGTAGACCGTGCTGGCACGCCCGCGCACAAACCGCACCGCACCCAAAAGCAGGAAACCCCGTGTTAACGCACATCCCCTCGGCCCGGAACTCCAGGCTGTGAGATTTGCGCGGCAGACAACAGGTACCAGTTGCCACGTATAGACAACTTGTTTGATCAGCTGAAGGGTGCCAAGGTATCTTCTAAGATTGACTTGAGATTTGGATATTATCAGCTACGCATTAGAGAGGAGGATGTGCCTAAGACAGCTTTTCGGACGAGGTAGGGGCACTAGGAGTTCTTGGTTATGCCATTTGGATTAACTAACGTGACAGCTGCGTCTATGGATCTCATGAACAGAGTGTTCCGACGTTACTTGGATCGCTTTGTGATTGTGTTCATAGACGATATCTTGGTATACTCCAAAAGTCAAAAGGTGCACATAAAGCTTTTGGAGGTGTGCTGAAGACTTGAGGCGGAAACATTTGTATGCCAAGTTCAGTAAGTGTCAATTTTGGTTGGACAGGATGAATTTCTTGGCAATACTATTTTTATGGGGAAGCGTGCTAGATTTTCTCAAATCATTAAAGTTTGAAGTATCTGTTCACCTAGAGGGAACTGAATCTAAGAAAAAGAAGGTGGTTAGAATTGATTTAAGATTGTGATTGTACTATTGAGTATCACCCAGGAAGAGTAAATGTGGTAGCTGATGCCCTTAGCAGGAAGTTCTCGAGATTTGTAGCGCTTTTTCGAGGGAGGTATTTGCTACTGCTGATTGAGATGAGGAAATTGAGAGTTGGGCTAGGTATGCATGATCAAGGAGCACTGTTAGCTACTCTACTTGTGAGACTAGTGCTAGTAGAGCGAATAATTGAAGCCCAATCTCAAGATCCGTTAGTTTGTGCATTGAGATTAGAAGTTGAAATGGCGACAGGATGGATTACTCAGTGAGGAATGATGAGACTTTGATGGTAGGAACAAGATTGTATGTTCCTGAGGATGAGACACTGAAAAGGGAAATCCTTGAGGAGGCCCACTGTTCAGCCTTTGCCATGCACCGTGGCAGCACTAAGATGTATCGTACTCTGATGGAACATTGTGGGTGGCCTTTCATGAAGAAAGAGATAGCAGAGTACGTCAATAAGTGCCTAGTTGGTCAGCAAGTCATGGCAGAGTGGTAGAAACCATTTGGATTGCTGCAGCCACTTCCGATTCCTGAGTGGAAGTGGGAGTACATTACTATGGATTCTATGTTCAAACTTCCTCGGACAAAGGACAAGCATGATGGAGTCTGGGTAATTGTAGATCGACTCACTAAGTCAGCTCACTTTCTACCGGTGAGAGCGAACTATACTTTGAATAAGTTGGCCGAGATTTTTATAGATGAGATTGTGAGACTTCATGGGGTACCAATATCCATTGTTTCTGATTGAGATTCTCGGTTCACGTCCCGTTTTTGGATGAAGTTGCATGAGGCATTTGAGACCCAACTGCGGTTCAATACTGCATTTCACCCCCAGACAGATGGTCAATCTGAGAGGATGATTCAGACTTTAGAAGATATGTTGAGAGCATGTGCATTGCAGTTTCGGGGTAACTGGGATGAGAAATTGCCATTCATGGAGTTTACCTATAATAACAGTTTTCAGGCGAATATAGGAATGTCACCATTTGATGCCTTGTAAGGGAAACAGTGTAGAACGCCTTTGTATTGGGATGAAGTGGACGAGCACAGGTTACAGGTGTCTGAGGATGTTGGAAGGACTAAGGAACATATAGAAATAATAAGAGAAAGGCTCAGGGCGGCCTAGGATCGACAAAAGAGTTATGTAGATAACAAGAGAAAGGATCCTCAGTTTGAAGTTGGTGACAGAGTAATTCTAAAATTGTCGCCTTGGAAAGGCGTAGTGAGATTTGGGAAGCAGGGAAAACTAAGCCCTTGCTATTTTGGGCCATATGAGGTTATAGAACGTATGGGCCCAGTAGCTTACAGACTAGACTTGCCAGTAGATTTCTCTCGTCTACATGATGTAAGTGTCCATGCTCCGGAAATATATTTCAAACCCATCCCATGTCTTGGAAGAACAACCCATAGAGTTAAAGGATGATTTAAGTTGTGGAGCAGCCTATTCAGATTATGGATTGGAAGGTGCAAGCACTTCGATCCAGAGAAATTCCACTAGTGAAAGTGTGGTGGAGGAATCACTACGTGGAGGAGGGCCACATGGGAACCCGAAGAGCGTGCGGGCCAAGTATCCTTACCTCTACAAGTGACAGGTACGTAAATTTCGGGGATGAAATTTTCGTAAGGGGGGTAGATTGTAACAACCCGAACCTTAATTAATATTTAATTGATAATTTAATAGAGGAAAAGACTAAACTACCCTCGGAATAATTTATTAGGTTTTAAAGTTGACTTTTTTACTGAGAAGGAATTTGGAAATTTTGATTGTACCATTGCGTAGAGCACGACGAAACGAGTCTGTAGACACGTAGTGGGCTCAATTCCGAGTTGTATTGAAGGAATTACGAGTATAATACGCAAAGGGGCAAAATTGTATTTTTCTTTAGAAAATCAGATTTTATTTTAAATCTGACTTTCTCTCTCCTCACTCCCTTCTTCCTCGCGACAACCCCCCCTCCCTTGTTTCTTCTTCAGCCGCAGCCCCTCTCGGATAGAACCACCACCACCGGCCACGACTGGCCACCAAACCAGCCAA